GTTGTGAAGCCTAGAAACTCATGCTGCAGTTTTACGGCTTTGTTTTTGATTCTTGAGCTAGTGGTTTCTGCTGTCACCTGTCATTTGTAGTATAGAATCTCCAGGACACCCAAAGCCTTTAGAAATCTAAGTTACAGGTTTTTGTGGTAGGTTCTAAAGGGATTCCACATTTCCAAGAATTTCACACTTTTCCCTTTTGGGCATGGCAGGAAATCCTGCCCCTAGGAATGAGTCATAAATTCCTTTCAAAAGGTCTGAACCTTTACCCTGCCCTCCCTGGCAGTTTCTAGAGTGACTTTATTCCTCCTAGGGGAGGAAAGTAGTGAGCTTCCCTTCTTGGTTGACCTGTACTGTTTGATGACTTTTGATTTCACTAGTGATGGCAGAACTACTGATGCTAATCCAGACTCCTAGGAAATAGTTGTCTGGCCCCACCTCGCATCCCCCGGCCCACCCTTCTACAGCCTGTGCTGCTCTAACCAGCACTGCAGCTCCTGCCTAAGCTGCCCTGTGCTTGCTCCCTCTCAGCACTGGAACTGCTCTCACTCCCTGTGTGTAGGATAGGGGAGGCGGTAGGAATTCCCCAGCTCTCGGGCATGCAAGTCCTGGAAATTCATGGGGGTGAACACCCATGGAACAACCCTGGCTGATGGAGCATGGATGCTGGTGGATGATTTTGAGATATAGCATACAAGACAAAATCAAGCCTGGTTGACCACAGTGGTGACAAGGGAATGTGTCCTTACAAAAGCTTCCAGTATCTTTGCTTCACTATCCCACACCCTCATCCTATTCCTGATGTCACTTCCAAAACTGCATGCAGACTCTTGACTCCAGCTCTGCTCTGGGAGAGCGTATGCAGAACTCATACCAATCTTCATATCAAACAGATGAATGTACACCCTGGAAGGTCAAGGTTGCCATGTAATGTATCCCCAAGTCAAATTACAACTACTTCTTGATTCTTCCATTTGAGGAGTATAATGATTATGGGAAAAGTTCCCAAAAGAGGTGGTATGGGCTCCAATTTAGCCACTAATGAGTTATGTGAGCAATGCTACACTATTTAACTTTTTCGATCTCAGTAACAGATCTATGAAATAAAGGAGATAAATTGGATTGCATCATTTCTAAAATCTCTTCCAGTTCCACAATTATGTATTTGTGATATAAAGGCATCCATGTGGCAATTTGTAGTAGCTTTGTTTTTCCCCCTCATTAACCCTAGTGATTGTTATGGCTAAAAATATGGCAACACTTGAATGCAACTTTAGACAGGCAAGTGAATCAGTCTCCTAAAGGTCCAGATTAGAGAAGGAGAAGCTATTCAGAACCTCTAAAAACAATAATGCTGACAAAAAGAGAACAAGCTGGCTTCTTTGGGAGTCAGCAAACATTAGCAGGGGCTGCAGCATTAAGATAAGAAGAGAGTAATGAGAAAATGAGTTGCAAACAACTTCCTTGCTGCCTTCCAGCGGTCACTCAGCGATTCGTCACATCCCTAACAGGGCTTGATAAATGAACTCCAACTTTTGAGATTTCTACCCCCACCCCCTTTAAAGTTACTTGGAAACTTGACATTTGAAAACTCTTCTGCTTTGAAAAAAATAATACAAAGTCCTGCAAGTGTCAGAGACAGGAAATGAAGACATGAAAGGGATACCGGCGGCTATAACTCCTCAATCAAGGAGCATCGATTCAGAAAAAGATGAAAGATCCTGATCGTTAAGACAAATATAAGGACCACAAAACTTGCAAAATAAATAGGTGATAAAACAAATGATAAAATGATAAAACAAATGTACAAAACATTTACAAGACATAGGCGTGCATAAGAGAGATAATATAGGTATTGTAATTTCCATTTTACCCATGAAGAGAAGCAGCTCAAAGAAGTAAATAAATTGTCTGATGACACACAGCCAGTAGTGGTAGAGCTAGGATTTCCAGTATTTAAAATATATTTTAGGGCCTCCCCTAGTGGCACAGGCAGTTGAACGCAGCACTGTGAAGGTGTCTGCAGCCTCTGCAGCACCGGTTTGATCCCCGCCAGCCTCGGAGCAACCCACATGGCAAGCAGACCTCTCCTGTCTCTCCCGCTGCTCCCTTCAGCAGTGTATTTCGTCAGTCTGCCTGTTCTGTTCCCTGCTCTGTCTCTGGTGGATCCTCTCATCCTCCTGTGCATCTGGCCTGTACCCCAGTTCTTGTATAAATAGATAAATAAATCTTGAAACATAATTTAAAAATAAAATATATTTTAAAGACTAAAATTTATATTTTAGTTATACAAGCAGAGAGGTAACAAATCAAATGGTATTAAAAAGTATGTAGTGAAATAAACACTATTTCCCATATTGCTGCCTTTTTGTCCTTTGTATTTCCCAATGCCTTCATTTGTTTTTTTCCTTTGGCCTTCATATTTTTAATTTCTGAGAGCTCTTTCTTTTTCTTCAGTTGCTCCTATTATTTTTTAAACCATGCTATTCTTGTTTCATGGATGTAATAGCTCGATACAAATATTAACTTGTTTTGTTTTCTTCCTCTCCCTGTTTTCTCAGAGATACATTTTTTTCCCTGTTGGTTTTGGCCTATTTCATATGGGAACTTTTCATAAAATGGCCCATGACCCCTGGCATCTGAAAGACTAAGCAGGAGTTCTCTCTGTGTGTGTGTGTCCCATACACACATTGCTTAAGACATATTTATACTAAAAAAAGTCTTCATAGTTTATCTGAAATTCGAATTTTACCAGGCTCGTGTTCTCTCTCTCTCTCGCTCTCTCTCCTCTCTCTTTCTCTCTCTGTCTCTTACTCTCTCTCTCTCTCTCTCTCTCTCTCTCTGTAATCAAATTCCTGACCTTTAGCAGAGCACATGGCTACCCAGAAATAAAGACTTCTTTACCCAACTTTCCTTCAACCTAGGTATGACCAACTTTTGAGATTTCTAACCCATGTAATGCATTAGAGAGATAATTCTCTCAAAAGATATTTTGTATCAACTTTTGGCCCTCTCCTTCCTTGTCCAGCCCTTCTTTCTGCCACCTGGCATGTGGACATTATGGCTGGAGCCTGAGCAGCTCTCTTGGACTAACGTGGAAAGCATGTGTTGAAGGTGGCAGCAGTCTTTCATGATGGAAGGAGTCTGGGTCCTTGGCAACTTAATGTAGCTACTTTTCTAAAGCTAGATTGCTAGTCTCAGATTTTTTTTTATGTGACAGAAAAGTAAGTCACTGTTATTTTGAGTCTTCTGGCCCTTACAATTGACTCTAATTCTAAATGATACAATTACAAAGTGCAGTGAGATTTCAATTTCAAAGGACAGCTTCCTAAAAAGGTGGTAGACGATACAAAACTTGAAGGATAGTTTAGCCAGATGTGGAAGCACAGGGACAGGATTCCATATAGAAACAATGACATGCTAGGACACAAAGCATTTTCAGAGGGGAACATGTAGACGGTTCTGGTTGGAATAGATAAATCATGTAGGAGAGAAGTAGAAGATAAAAATGAATAAAGGTTGGGGGGAGATTAGAGAGGGCCTTGAAGCAGCAAACCAATTTTATTTTTTTTTTTAAGTACTTGACTAGTTTTTTTGTTTTTTAGATTTATTTATTTATTATACAAGCACTGGGTATAGTCAGAAGCACAAGAGGGTGAGAGAATTCACCAGAGCCAGAGCAGGGAACAGAACAGGCTGACTGACGAAATACACTGCTGAGGAGAGCAGTGGGCGTGGCAGGAGAGGTCTGTGCGCCATGTGGGACCCTTGCCAGTGGCCGGGGATCAAACCGGCCCTGCAGAGGCTGTGGGCAGCTTCGCAGCCCAGCACTCAAATGCTGTGCCACCAGGGAGGCCCAGCAAACCAATTTTAGAGTCTACTTTGAAAGCAATCAGTTGGAGGTTTTTGAGATAGAAGTTTGTGATACATGTCTAGAATGTGAGGGGCAGTTACAGTGAACAGTTTCAGAGTCGTCTATATACCTACATAGAGGTGAGGCCAAGGGGTGAATCTAAGTAGAGGAAGAATGTGGTAGGAACTCACATGGAGAGCAAGGAGAAAATATACTTAAAAAGGATCGAGAAGAAGAGACAGAAATCTGAGTAGAAATTGACAAATTAGTAAATTTCAGAGAAGCTAGGAAATAGCAGAAGTAGGTAGGTAAAGGACACTGAATTTGGGCACAAAGGAGTCTCTAGTGACTTCTGAAAATACACTTGTGGAATGTGAAGGTTGATTATGGTCTTCAAAGTGTAACAGGTGTTAAGAAACTAAAGGGAATAATGTGCTTCATTTGTTTTAAAAGGTAGGCAGTAAAAAAAGGTAAATTGAAAAGCAATTAAAGATCTCCATGGGGTCAAGTGAAAGAACTTTTTGAGGAATGGAAGTTGTTTGGTGTTTAAGATAAAACTGCATATCAGCAAAGGAAAAGATTTCCAGGCTGCCCAAAGAGAGGTGCAGAATTTCCAGTTCAGAAGGAGGTCTGAACATTGGAAAAAAGGGGAACAGCTCGTTAGAGAGATAGAGGAGAGGCAAGGAATGAGCCTTGGATTTCCAGTCAACATTTTAGTATAAATCTTTTCCACTAGCACCATCCATGCCATTATAGATCTGACCAGAAATTACAGTCTAAAAATATTGGGTTGTTGGAAAAGTCATGACATATTTTTCCTATGCCTTTCAAGCAAAAATGTGTCCTGACTTTTTCGACAACCCAATAGCAATCTAAGTCAATCTCTAAACTTAAAATGGCCAAAACTTAGTTTCAGAGTCAAGAGTCCCAAAAAAGCTCATAAAACAAAAGAAAAATATAAATCGTGTCTTATAAACACCATCTTAATGAAACTAGATGAGGGAAAACAATAAAGTTTAGCTCGTTTGTACACTGGCATCAGTACTAAAATAACACACGATGACATGACCTCTAATATGGACCTGGAAATTAATTACAGGATAGAACTTTAGATCTCCATTTGTCAAATAGAGCAAATGCCAATACCTACTCAAAATACAGCGTGAGGTCTGTTGCCAGTATTGACTGCTTCAAAAGCTGCATAAGGTCACTATATTCCTTGGAGGACAAATTAGCAAAGATGTTGTGACCCTGTAGTGAGAAAGCAAAAGTCACAAAAGACAACATTAAATTTGAGGTTGTTTTTCTATATGAAAAAAAAATCCGGAAACATAATAAAACCATTTTTAAAAAGCTTAATGAAATTTTGTGCAAATACAAAAAGACTCCCTGGCAAACACAGGAAACTGAGAAAGTGTTATCATTTTTAAGGGGTCTACTAAGCAATACCTTATTATATTTAGTCTTGAAGAAAAAACTCTGAAATATGTTTGAACTTCTCTTACTAGAGACATGTTTATGACAGCAGCTTCATTGGACCACTCATGTCCTGTGGAATTACTGAGTAGAGAAGTTGACAAAACATTTGGGAATCTTTCTGACCCTAAAATAAATACCAGTTTCACTAGTGACTTAAGTTGGATGTTTTGGAAATTCCTGCTGTGGTGGCAAATGACTCTAAAGAAGAGAAAAAACATCAGGCCTGAGATTCTCAACTTGGGGATGACTTTTGCAATGGGGACTTCTAGTGCTGTCTAGAGACACTGCTGATTTTCACACTGGTGGGGAGTGCTGCTGGCATAGTGGGGGAAGCTGTTAGACATCCTGCAATGCACAATTCTACCCTTATGACAAAGATTTACCAGGCTCAATATGTCAATGACTATTGAAATTAAGGAGCCCTAAAGCTATAGCTGGATGAAGTGTGTTAAGAGAGATTAAATTTAGTATAGTGAATAGCTATTGAGTAGCTAGAATGTGTAAGATATTTTACCTGCCACAGTTCTCAAGACTGTACAGATGATATTTACCAAAGAAAACATGCAAAATATGTGTCGATTCCCCAGCTCTGAGAACATACTGCTTTTCATGAAATGTGTTCTAGCTATACTAAGCAGCTTCACAATCTCTTTAGCAAAGTGAAAAATCTTTGTGAAAAGTGACAATTCACATAATTTGCTGTGAAAATCAGGGCTTTTCATTTACCCAGTTTCCTTAGCATTAAATACAAAGTCATAACATTTGGTCCTGGATCCAGACCAGCTTTAAACCTATTATTGACAGCAATAACATGGGGCAGAAGGGAAGGGGCAGAATAACTGTATGAGACTAAACTATTCTCCAATGAGAGCTAAATTAATTGTTTCAGGGACCCAGATATCAATTAGTAAATTACTTCTTACCAGGCACCAGCAGATGATAATTGCTCCCCTAAGTTAATTTATCTCATTGGGTGAAACTGCCACTCCTTAAAGACTAGCGTATATTGGTTCCACCTGGGACCAGGTCCAATAGTAATAATAATTTTCAAATGAACTCTTCCAGACCCTTAATTCAGCCATTAGGAAGAAGACAAATAACTAAAGCAAGGCCACATCATAATTCTGCCCAGTTTTCTTCGCCTGAGTCTTGCCCCATGGATTAATCACAGACTGGTGTACTAGGGTCTCGAAAAAGGTGGTGAGAAGCTATGGAAAAGTTGCCATGAGAGTCCAAGCCACAGGCCTGAGTCTCCCCGTGGAAGAAAATATGGCTGGTAGGAGCAAGTTACAGTACGATCTACTGTGAAGACAAGAAGCAAGCTGATCTGAATTTGAGGTTCCTGGTTATTTCATGAGGGTCTGCACTTCACTACGTTTAAAAGTCATAGAACTAACATAAGGTACAGTTAACAGAGTGACAAAGCAAACCAGATCAACTTTAGTAAAAAAAAGTTAATTTGCATGTAGTGTATTTTTATAATGCAAATTACCTTCTATATTGCCTCAAGGGTTTGACCCCTGAAATAGATCTGTCTCCTTGAAATACTTCTACTCTTTGTTTAGGGAGCGGCCAGTGTGGAATTGATGGAAAGAAAACCAAATGTGGAAGGGAGGAAGGTCCTGGCCAACTTTTTCCAGGCCATTGAAGCTCTCTGTGCTTCTGCCTTATTTGGACAGTGTCACTGTGACACCTTTCAGATGGGAGGGACAGGACGGGTGTGGGAGGAAGCACCAGGGCCGGGTCTGCCAAGTCTTTTGTTCAGGTTATGGTTCCATTATTGTTGTTATTCTTTGTTCTTCACTGAGAACTCCAAGTGGAGGAGAGCCCATGTTTGTATGAAGATAAATTCTGAAGTCAGTGGTGTTTGATTCCCTTAAGGAAACAAATGTCCTGCTGAGAAAACCTTGACATTGTGGTTATAATCCCTGTCATTACAAAGGTGGGTGTGAATGGGAAACAGATAGAAACCCATCATATTACCAGTATAGAAAAGAGTCTGACCCCATGTTTCTCAGATCCCTGCTCTCATCTTCCACTAAAATATGGTAAAATATTCCAGCTAAAATATGGCTTTCATAGGAAAATCCAGAGCCACAGATGCCAGCAACTGGTTTCTGTCAGTTACTGAGAGCCTAACTCGATGTTTCATTCCCAGCTGAAAATACATAACCCCCAGCAGGTTTGCCCCTCCCAGTCACAGTCAGGCTCAGAGTGCAGACTCGCCTTTATGGGGTCAGAGGCGGCTTTCATGATACTGCAAAAGACAAGCTTTCTCGAGATAGGCTGGAGAAAAAAACCTTCCATATTTAATGATGCTATTCCAGCGAAGCAAGGCCTTAATGATGATAATAATAATAATTAATGGCGCAGCTAGAGGACTGACAAATAATGGGGAACAGATGATCCCTCCCTGGCCTAAAAAAAAAAAGTCTGTACGCCTGCAGAAAATTAAACAGATCCTTCCTGGCAATTTCAAACTCAGATGCCTCAGCCAGAGTAGAAAGTGGTTTTTCTTTTTCTCTGTGGAGAACTAAATGTATGAAAGTGCAAATACTTCCAACTCCTGCAAAATAAAGCATATGGCTTTAGCCCTGGGTCTCAAGCGTCACTGTAGTTCTTAGGTTTAAACTGGTCCCACCTTTTATAGGTTTTTCAGTGGTGCCAATAAAGTGTAACTTTCTCCTCTGGTTTCTTCTTCTACCCTCTTTTGAAATGGCGTTGAGTTTCACAAAATGGGAATGTTGGACCACTCACTGCTCAGATCAAGTCACTCTTGGAGTGGCTTCTCTCCCCCTTACAGACGGTAGGACAATGCTCTGGTGACAAGTGACAAGCAATCTCCTCTGCCAAGTGAATCTGAAACCCAAATGAATCAGCTTGGAAAGAATTTGAGCTAGGTTCTTGGTCAAGCATCTGAAAGAATTTCCAAAAGCCAGACAGAAAAGGTCCAATAGTTTGGCTTGAAAAAGGACCCCCACTTCTCTGCATCTACTTTATGGCACTAGAAAGAGAGATGGAAACATCATTCCACTGGTTTTCTATCAAGGGGAGAAGCGGAACATTAGGTGTATACCTCACTTTGAAGGATCATGACGGCGTGGTTAAAATGGTGATGCTCTAAGGTAGCAGAGGTTCCATAGAGTTGGGCCAGGGCAGAGCCGCTCCTGAAAGAGGACAGAAGGGTGAGTGACTAGGACCTTCACCTGCCAAGGACTCCCCTGCACCAGCTCCATGGCTCAACATGCTTTAGCAAAGAATTAAAGAACAGGTACATTCTCATGGAACTGCTTATGTAGTCCATTCGTAAATGAAGTAAGACTTTCGAGAAGTTTCTTTATGTTAGTCTAGATGCTCTGGATAATACAACAGTGAATAAGATAGAGTCGATGCCTCTAAAAAATTTACAGAGTAGTATGGGAGATTAGATGTGATCATAAGGGAAAATAATGCACTTAACAAAAAATACAAATTCCACTGTAAATGTTCCAATCCAATCAAAGTGGGTGATCTGAAGACAAGAGATAGAATTTCTAACTGTGGGGGTCAGAGTAGGGTTAAAAACTAAACCTTACACAACTTCTGAGTGTCTAGAACAACTGTCTTCTACCAAATGTCACTGGCTCTCCATGGGACAAAGACCTTGTGAATATATTATGCAGAACCCATTTTAACTACTTTACATGTTAGACTGACAAGCTTCTACTGTGGTTTTTCAGTTCACAGTCACACTGTGATAACTCAGTGTAGAATTCTGGAAAGTTCCTGGAATTGGAGTCAGACCTCCACTCTTGGTGATAGTTTTGGGTGGTTACTTGTTTGTTTTAAGACTCAGTTTCTTTGTCTCTCAACTTGCAATAATACTGTCTACTTCACCTATTACTTATGAAAATGCAATCTTTGAAAGTGCCTCTACCTTGTGTCTGGCATGCAGTAGGTTGTAGTCAGTATTAACTTTTGATCAATAATTAAAACACATGGCTATTTCCATTTTAAATTAATAAATGTTTGAAAGGACTATTTTGAACTACCTGTAACTTTTACCAATGTCAAGCAACCCATTTCTCAACAATGTCAGTTCTGATTTGTGTTTATTTAAAATGTTCATCTGCATTAATTTCCAATTTTTTTGGAGTATCATTTTAAGAGTAGAGAGTGATTCCAGAGAATTCTATGAGTTAAAGTGCACTCATGGGACTCAGGCTGAGGTCCCAGCTAGGTACTTGTGATCTTTCTTGGTCACTGCAAGGATTTTGGACATTGAAAGGGAAATATGGACTTAGGCTGGAAATGCTGGGGACTGACGGCAGAGTCTGTTCTGCTAGTGACATGATCAAGGACTGTATCTAAGCATAAAGAAGTATCTCAAGTATTAGCTCCCTCCATCTCCAGTCATTTTTTTTTTTTTTTTTTAAATATTAAATTTTATTTTTATATTCCCCCATACAATTGCAAATGCCCCATTCTGACCCCAATCCTTCCCCTCCCGCCCCCCACCCCCCAAAAAGTGTCTCTGGTTCATAGTTTTTTGTTGATTTTGATTTTCACTTTCTTATATTCATTTTCCTGGTCCCTTATTTAAGTTTTCTAGATTCCTGCTATGAGTGAGACCATCCGGTATTTTTCTTTTTCTTTTTGGCTTATTTCGCTGAGCATGATCCCTTCCAGCGCCATCCATGTTGCTGCAAATTGCATGTGTTTATCTTTTTTGAATGCTGAGTAATATTCCATGGTATATATGTACCACATCTTCTTGATCCAGTCATCTATTTTTGGGCATTTGGGTTGTTTCCAAAGCTTAGCTATTGTAAACAGTGCTGCTATAAACATAGGAGTGCAGGTGCTCTTTGGAATTGATGTTTCTGTGTCCTTTGGGTAAATACCTAGGAGTGGAATTGCTGGATCATATGGAAGCTCTATGTTTAGTAGGTCCAGAAATCTCCACACAGCTCTCCATAGTGGTTGGACCACTTTGCACTCCCACCAACAGTGCACAAGAGTTCCTTTTTCTCCACATCCTCGCCAACATTTGTTGTTGCTAGTTTTTTTAATATGTGCCATTCTCACTGGTGTGAGATGGTATCTCATGGTAGTTTTGATTTGCATTTCCCTGATTACAAGTGATGTTGAACATTTTTTCATATGTCTGTTGGCCATTTGCATTTCCTCTTCAGAGAAGTTTCTTTTTAGCTCTTCTGCCCATTTTTTGACTGGATTATTTTCTTTGTTGTTGCTGAGTCTCATCAGCTCTTTGCAGATTTTTGTGATCAGTCCTTTATCATTAGTGTTGGGTGCAAAAATGTTCTCCCAGTTGGTGGGGTTTCTCTTTGTTTTTGTTATTGTCTCTTTTGCTGTGCAGAAGCTCTTTAATTTGATGTAGTCCCAGCTGTTTATCTTTGTCTTCACTATCACTGCTTTGGGTGATGTGTCTGTAAAGATGTCTTTGATGTGCAAATCACGTAGTGTTTCGCCTATATTTCCTTCTATGTATTTTATGGTTTCAGGTCTTATGTCTAGTTCTTTAATCCATTTTGAGTTGATTTTTGTGTATGGTGTGAGGTAGTGGTCAAGCTTCATTCTTTTGCATGTAGCGACCCAGTTTTCCCAGCACCATTTATTGAACAAACTTTCTTTGCTCCAATGCATAGTCTTTGCTCCTTTGTCAAAGATTAGTTGACCATAAATCTGTGGGTTTATTTCTCTCCAGTCATTTTGGGGAGACTTGGGGACCTGTGATTTTCGGAAAGACTCATAGCTGGCTACATGCCTGAAGAAAAAGCAGGTTTAGGTTTACTGGACATTATTGTAAAGAGGGTTAGTATGGAGAGGTACTAACTTTTAAGCAGGTATGTGTTATTTCATTAAATCTTGCCCTAACCTATGGCATTTAAGAGACAAAAATTTGTTAGGGTAATCTTAGTAATCAGTAAATTACAATGTCACTGTTTTTCTAACAAAGAGTTCATTTTTATAAAAATATATTTTTCAAAATGCTCACCCTATGCCTTTGTTTTGACTTCTGAAATTTTGGGATGTTTATGTGCATATCACTTAAGAATGCCTGGCATAGAGTAAGTGTTTAAAAAATATTAGCCGCTTGTTAATAAACTTGTGCTGGGATGTTTAGAGATTATTGTTCACATTGAAAGGTTGACAGTGATAATAATATTATAACAATAACTACCATGATTAAGTACCCATCAGGCATTGGGCAACCTAACAATATCAGACATTATTTCATCCAGCTCTCACAACGACCATGAAATACATATTATTTTTTCACAGATGAGGAAACCAGAGAGGTTATACAACTTTTCCAAGGTCACACACCTAGTAAGTATCACTTCTAGATTAGAATCCAAGGGTTTGATCTTCTCATTACATAATGAGAATAATTATAACCAGTACATTTCTCATATGGGATTTCCCATTTTTGCCAAGCTGGTTGTCATCAATGAGAGATTTCAAAATTAATTTAGAATTCTACTACTAGTATACCTGCCAAGTACAGGCTCAGATTACTGAGATTTGTTTCTACTAGCCAGCTGAGCCCAGATGAAACTCACTTATTAGAGTGAATCCTGATAATAGTCACTGAGGTAAGGTAATGTCAAGATAAAAACATTGTTTCTTCCTTTATCACGTTGGGTTAGCAGTCCCCACAAAAGCTAGACAGTCAGAAATCACTTTATATTTTCTTTTTTTTTTGTTCCCTCCTTTCCCCAACTTTATGTATTTTTTTTATTTTCAGGCTGAGCAGGGTGTCTCCTCTTTTAACAAGAGAACATCTTAGCAAATAACACCAGTGCTTCTGTGTCTCACCCCCACCCCGAGGTCCACATGGCTTCTGAGCTGCTGTGCTTCACCAGGGCCCTCAGGGTGGGCGTGCAAATACAGGCTCCTGACTGTCCGCAGTAGAGCATCTTCCTCATCTGAGTCCTTACTTGCTCCCTCTTGTAATTCTATTTTATATTATCCCCCACTTCTCTACCTTCCACAATACTGATTTAGTCACAAAATATGTAGTTTTTGCAGCACATTTATTAGGAATGTTCAGAAAGACATTGCGATTCATTCATTCATTCATTCATTCATTCATTCAGGTCTGTTATGCCAGGTCACAGGTACATGGAATACAAAGATAAATAAGAGACAATTTTCACCTTTAGGAAACTCACAGACCCCTAAAAATGTATGGTAGACTTTCTGTGATCAGTCTTGCACTAACAGTGCTCGCCTTTCTGCAAGCAAGGTGCCATTTACAGAAGGGATTCTGGTACTAACTCTGCTTTGAGTTTTCTGGAGTAAAATCACCTAAACAACAGCATTTCTATTTCATGTGTCTCCCTTACACACACTTAGCTTTGGTCTCTGCCAAGATTTCTAAGACTGTAAACCTCTTGCTTCTTTCTCTCTGAGGTCAAGGTCATGGAGAATGCCACAACTCTCATTACAAACCCATCTGCTATGAACTTCTTAGGACCACAGGAGTGAAGTCCACAGTTTGTAAGTCACCGAACTTGATACTAGTGGCAAAAAATAAAATATACTTGTATTCATTAAAAAGAATTCTGCAGAATACCAGAATGGAATTATGGGCAGAAATAAAAAGGGTTTCATTGTCAAATACGTTTGGGAAATAGAAAGCTAAATGATTTCTTTATTGCAGATTTTCCCAACAGTGTCAATATGTGGACATACTCACTGTGATTCTGCAGTAGGGGAACATAATAGGTAGTACTAACCAATCTTACTTGATCATAAAACCACCTCTTTCATGTCATATACTTTGTACAAAGATATACTTCCATTTTTTCATGTAAAATACGATGGAAAAAAATGTCAATCATATATGAAAAAATTTGACTTGAACACCTCACCATATTGTAATTGTGTCATATTCGTAGCTTTGAGGTGTACACACTAGTTGTGAACATATGATTACATATGTAGGATGTGTGGAGAGGAAGAGAGAAGAAAAAGAGTATCCAAATTCCATAAGTAGGAGAATATTTATACATGTGATTTTTCATGATACACACTGATGATTAAGTCATTCCAATGCCTTAAAGTGTTTATTTTTGACAGGCAGTACACCAAGGAGAAAATTATTAAAAAGAAAAGTCCAACTGGAAATTCTGTCTTTAAAGGGATTCAGTGCTGTGCA